TTGAGTGAGGAGCATAGCTGAGTTTCAGACCCAGTTTTGTGTGACTTCACAGTTGAAGCTTTTACAGAGTGCATATTGGTGATCAAGTAAATACAGTAAAGTCAACATCTGCCACTACCCTATACCTTTCAGGAGTGCCTGGAAAAAGTCTGTGTCTAGCAACCTCTGAATAGAGACACTGAAAGGCCTTCAGCCTCTGGGGAGATATGAGTTACAGACCTAAAGTCCAAATTTTCACTTGCATAGGCTTTGAAAGGGGTGCTAAAACTCCAGTTCCTGCTGCAGGGAGTTAATCTTCCAGAAGAGGCCAGCAAAGGCTCTGAGAAGTTTCACCCAGCCCAGCTTTCCTCAGATCGCCCTCAGGCAGCTGTGACTCTCCTTAGCCCCGTCTTGGCTCCTCCCCGGTCCAGATTAGCCCTGGCTGCTTTGTCATTTCACTGCCGGTCAGAGCACATCTATGGCGCAGAGTCACCTCTGGGGGCCCAAGAGTCTGGGGCCCCAGCTCTTTGATAGCTGAGTTTTAGAAATACCTTGAGATTTAGGAGGGTACCAGGGAACAGGGTCAAGGGTGCTAAGGGGCTGCTGGAGTAAGGAGCTGTGTTCAGGGGCAAAGCGGATCCACAGCGGCTGCTAATGCTTCAGTCTACGTGTTTACTGATCCTACCTACTGTTTGGTCTTTGAGGGCAGGAATGCTAGGCCTGAGAGAGGCACTGATAGTAATAATACCAGCTATGTTTTATCCAGACCATATATATGTCAGAGGCCATACATACACCCTGTCATTTAATCCTCCAGTAACTCTGTGAGAGAGCTAGTAATAGTTGCATTTTATGGATTAGGTAGTTTAGAAAAAGGAAAAAAACCCTGAAGCTCAGAGAAGTTACCCATAACCATTGAGAGAGAATTGAGATTGAACCCAATCCCATATCTGTGTATCTCAAGCTAGTGGTAAACTGCCTAGAAATATAAATTTTGTCCTCATCACCAATACTTGGGCCACCTGATGTGAAGAGGCAACTCACTGGAAAAGACCCTGATGCTGGGAAAGACTGAAGGCAGGAGAAAGCAGCGGCAGAGGAAGAGATGGTTAGAGGAAGAGATAGCTTCACTGACTCAATAGACATGAATTTGAGCAAATTCCAGGAGATAGTGGAGGGCAGAGGACCCTGGCGTGCTGCAGTTCATGAGGTCCCAAGGAATTGGACATGACAGTGACTGAAAAACAGCAATCATCAAGAAGCTCACAGTCCTGTCTGCTCTCTGCCCACACCAATTCAACATCATCTCTTGTCAATGCCCATCTCACTCTGTGCTCCAGACATACGGAAATACTAGCAGTTTCTGCATGCTTAATACATGCTGTTTGCTCTGCCTTGAATGCCTTCGACCCCTCCTTTCTGATGCTAACTCCTTTTCATTCTTTGGGTCTCGGCTTGCCTGTCACCTGGCTGTCCAAGGCTGGGGAGTTCACACTGCTGCTGGGTAGGGAGCTTTATTTCCCCTCATCTCTTACAGGACGTTCTTGGACTTCTTGTTTGGGAAATCCACTGCCCCCCCATAGTTACTCTCCCAGTTAGTATGACTGACACCCCTCCTCCTCCAGCTCATGGCATGGGTTTGATTTGTTGTTCAGTCACTTGTTTGTGTCCGTCTCTTTGCAACCCCATGGACTGCAGCACACCAAGCTTCTGTGTCCTTCACTGTCTACTGGAGTTTGCTCAAACTCATGTCCGTTGAGTTGATGATGCCGTCCAACCGTCTCGTCCTCTGCCACCCACTTCTCCTCCTGCCCTTGGTCCTTCCCAGCATCAGGGTCTTTTCCAATGAGTCGACTCTTCACATCGGGTGGCCAAAGGATTGAAACTTCAGCTTCAGCATCAGGAATTCATTGCAGCATTCAGTTCATTGCAATGACATTTACAATGAATATTCAGGGTTGATTTCCTTTAGGATTGATTGGTTTGATCTCCGTGCAGTCTACTCTCAAGAGTCTTATCCAGCAGCACAGTTTGAAAGCATCAATTCTTCTGCGATCAGCCTTCTTTATGGTCCAACTCTCACATCTGTACTTGACTACTGGAAAAATCATAGCTTTGACTAGATGAACCTTTATTGGAAAAATGATAGCTCTGCTTTTTAATATGCTGTCTAGGTTGGTCATAGCTTTTCTTCCAAGGAGCAAGTGTCTTTTAATTTCATGACGGCAGTCACTGTCCACAATGATTGGGGAGACCAAGGAAATAAAAGTCTGTCAGTTTCCATTTTTCCCCATCTATTTGCCATGAAGTGATGGGACCAGAGCCTATGATCTTTGTTCTCTGAATGTTGAGTTTGAAGCCAGCTTTTTCACTCTACTCTTTTACCTTCATCAAGAGGCTCTATAGTTCCTCTTCACTTTCTGCGATTAGGGTGGTGTCATCTGCCTTTCTGAGGTTACTGATATTTCTCCCAGCTATCTTGATTCCAGCTTGTGCTTCATCCAGCCCAGAATTTCACGTGTTGTACTTTGCATGGGTGACAATATACAGCCTTGACTATTTAATTCAATCAGTAGATCTCATTCTGATACTGTGATCAACTCAGGAATGGGGGTACAGCGTACTCCGAAACAATCAACGAGAAACTAGAAATTTTGAGAGTTACCAGAAGAGTCATCTTTTTTAGGTTACTGAATGAGGAAATATATAGGTATTCAGCCTGGCTATGAGCAACCTAGAGTTTAATAGTGAAGAGGCTTAAGGGTCTGGGTGGAATACAATAAAGGGGACTCTACCTCTATCATTAAAAATAGGACATTTTTGTCCCCATATATACTGTTTGTTTACTTTTAACTTTTTCAGAACCTTGAGCAAGAAAAAGGGGTGCTATTCATAGAGGACTTCTTGGAGCCCCAATATAATCTTTGCAGACATTCATACAAACACATATATACAAATGATCTTGGAGTCATTTTAATGTGTCATAATTTTGCATCATATTTTCTTACTTAAAAAAATCCAAATTAACTTTTAAATCTATCTTACAAATATTTTCCCAGATATCTTATTTCTCTATGGCTTTTGTTTATGGCATGAAAGTTGTAAACATTTATACAGGTAAAATAATCTTTCATCTTTTTTAGAGTCTCCAGGTTTCCAGTCTTTGTTAGAAATGTCCCCCCATCTTCAGTTTTTAATGTAGTCTCCAAAGTTTTCTTGCAATGTATTTTTTTCACTTTTACTGCTCTTTATTTCTATATTTTCTTAATTTGTGTGGAATTTTTTTCTTTTTAATAATGTATAAGATTAGAGTCCCTTTTTACTTTCTCCCATATGGAAAACCAGTTGTACTAGCATCGTTTATTAAATAGTCCATTCTCTTCCTACCAAACTGAATTTCCATATATTATCATGTGTTAACTTTTTATTTTTTTGGCCTTGCCACATAGCCTGTGGGATCTTAGTTCCCTGACCAAGAATTGATTCGTGGCCCTCAGCAATGAAAGCACAGAGTCCTCACCACTGGAGTACCAGGGAATTACAATGTTAGCTTTTCATAAGTATTGCTATTGATTGTGGATTTTCTTTTCTTTTTTAACAGAACTGTTTTTCTATTTCTGTTTGACTCTATAATATGTTCTGGTAAGGCAAGACTCTTTAACTGTTCTTCTTTTTTACAGTTTTCTTGGCTATTTTCAGTCATTCTTCACATAAATTTGAAGATGATTTTATAAAATTCCATTGAATATGTTGTTTGTATTCTGATTGGAACTAATTTGACATATATATTAATAATTTGAGGAAACTGGCCTTTTAAACTAGTAGGTCTTCTGCTCCAAGAACATAGTATAATTTTCCATTGTTTAGATCTTGTTTTATATATTCTAACAGAGGATGAGATGGCTGGATAGCATCACCGACTCGATGGGCATGAATTTGAGTAAACTCCGGGAGTTGGTGATGGACAGGGAGGCCTGGCGTGCTGCGATTCATGGGGTCACAAAGAGTCAGACATGACTGAGCAACTGAACTGAACTGAACTGAATACATTTACTTCATTTAAGTCCTGTATCTTTCTTATTATGTAGATCTCTGTGTTATATATATGTGTATATATATATATATATATATATAATTTTTTTTTTTTTTTTGCAGACAACATGTACTATTTTATTGGGCCTCAGAAACTTTAAATACAGAAATAGGGAGGGCTGGGCAAAGGGGCAGATGTGGACACACTGGCATTATTTTGATTGTTTAATGTAATGCTTTCCTTATTTCCTTTTCTACTATTTTCCAGTGACATTTTATTATTAAAATTATTACATTAATAAATTTTAATGTTTATTTTATACCCAGCCCACTACCAAAGAATGTAAGATTACTTAGTGAGATTGGGGAAGATGTGGGACTTAAACGTTCTGGGGGCTATGAAGCACAGGCCTAGCTTGGCCTGGAGCCTCAGGGTGTCAGGAAAGAAAGCAGACCAAGGACAAGAAGAAGAACTGATTGTGTGTTTAGCGCACTGTGTTATGTTTAGTTCTATTGTGAGCAGTGCTGAGTAGCAGAGACCTGAAAAACAGTGGGTTAAACAGAATAACATTTATTTCTTATATAAAAAAAAAGTCTATTGTAGGCAGTTCAGGCTCTATAGTACTCAGGAATTCAGACTGCTTCTAGCTTTACATTCTGCTGTCCTTCAGATGTGGCCCTCATCATTATGGTCCTAGATGAACTCAAGGCATCTCATCCATGTCCCAAGCAGGAGGATGAGGGATGGGGAGGGAGAGACAAAAGGCACATCTAGGGTGTATCTTAAAGAAATTTCCCAGAAGCTGCCAAACAACAATTCTGCTTATCCTATTGGCTGGAACTAAGTTATATGTGGTCGTCTGCCTCCAAGAAATGTTGGGTAATATTTTTATTCAAGAGGAAAATTCTAAAGATTAAAAAGACTTATCCAAATCAAGATTCTAAGGATTCCAGGATGAAGTCTGAGCTCAGAAACAGCTATCACTCACCTTGTCAGCTGTTGGAGACAGCCCTGGCTGCCCAGCAATACTAGGAATCCTGCTCATCTAACATCCATTTTGATTTAAAATCTTTTGTGTTTGAGATAGATTTTTCTCTGTTGACAATGGGCTGGGTTTTGCCTGTTCATTAGGTGTGGAACTTCTGGCTTGTGGTAAATCCTGATTGGAAAACAATATAAACATGTTTCCTGGTAGATGTATAAATATATATAGATGTTGGTTGTTCCCCTCCCCTCCACCAACACACACCATAGAAGCAATTTGTAGCAATTTAGACATGCTCAGCATCTGGCCCTCATAAAAGGTCTTGAGTGAGTCATGATTTTGCACCAACAGAGAGGGTTTGTCTTGCTTGTGGAGAGAATTGTGTTTACCTCCTATTCTGCCCGTGAACCTCTCTATTGCTTTATGATGATCAGACTGATTTGTGTGCAAAGAGACTGGTGAGATAAGAATTCGGGAAAGGGGAGCACGAATAAGAGGAGGCTCCAGATAGCTATATACTTAAGGCAAAACTATAAGTTTTAGGGGGCTTGCTGTTTCTGCTTTTGAGGAACCAGAAAAAAAAAAAAAAAGCAGTGGAAAGAGCCTCATTTTGTGAGTTAGGAGATGACCTCTACTTCTAAGTAGGCTTCTCAATCTCTGGAGTCTCAGTTTGTTAATATGACAAGTGGGACCAGTAATGGCTGCCCTACCCAGTTGAGAGAGAAAAGGGCAGCTCTTGCTTGAGTTGTGGAGAAAGGATCTTAAATATGCCATCTCATTTAATGTCCAAGACAGTCCCATGAGGGAGGTGGCATTAAACCATTCTTCAGCTGAAGCAACTGAGACATGGAGAGGCTAAGTGGTTTGTCCAAGGTCACAGATGTGTTGTAACTCAAACCCACATCTGTCTGGCTCCAAATCCTGTGTTCTTTTTATTACTTAATGCTGACACTTAAGTCACAGGACACATCCCAGTCTCCCCCTGGGGAGGGGAAAAGCTCAAAGTTGCTTCCCTGCTCCGAGGCCCAAAGTATCCCTGTGTCTTTTGTCATTACAGAAGTTCCAGCCAAGCTGAGTTCTGTTTCCTCAGGACCCTGCTCTTTGCTGTGGGAGCAGGTGGGTTGTTAATCTGATAAACGGCTTCCTGCTAAGGTGGGAAGGCAAGCTAAAGAGCTGCTGAATTGCCCTCCAGAGTGGTAGGTTTGACACTCCAGTTGCTTTGGCCCATGAAATTGCTTTAGGACTGTGATCTGAAAGGATGAGGGCTTTGGGGTCAGTCAACTCCTGGGTAGGAGTCCTGGCTCTGAGTCTTGCTAACAGTGTGACCTTAAGTTGTCTGCCCTTCAGTTCCCTCATCAATAAAATACAGATACGAGCTCACTAAAGGGTGGATGTTGTGACTATTAAATGAGCTAATGTGGGAAATGTGCTCGGCGCCTTGTGCTGTACTCTGTACACAATTGAGTAAAAGGCAGCTGTTGTTTCCTTGGAGGGAGTGAGCAGACCTCCATGAGAGCTATTTAGACAGTGAGTTGTTTCTGTATCCCCTCTAGCTTAGAATATATGGGATAACTTACTTGTTGTCTGAGGCATTTATAGAGTGTTAGGTGTGCCATACCTGCCAGGGACAGGTTCCTGGAACAGGACCTGTTCCAGCTCCCAGCCCGCTGACTCACAGGTCACCCTGATGTCACCAGTGAGGGCTCTGGGCCTTTCCTGGGAGGCAGTAAGAAGGGTGCATGGGTCTAGGCATGGAACTTGATAAAGGGCTTATTGGCAATCTGCTTGATAGGAAGCCTAAGGTACAGTTATCCTGGGGATTGTGTCAGGTGTAGACATAGAGTTCATCCTCCTGGGCTTTCCAAATACTCCATGATTCAACTCCTTCCCATCCCATTGTACACTTCTATCCTGCTTGTTCCTCGACAGTCAACACCTCCACGAAACTGGCAACTCATGAGTCTCCAAACACATAGAAACTCAGTCCTACTTCATTGGTTTGTCTGCAGTTGGATCCCTATGTCTTTACTTCTTAGCCATAGCTAGATCATCTCTCAAGGCCAGCTCTCATCTGCCTCCTCCAGAAAGCTTTCCTTAACTTCTACAGTGCATGCTGACCTTTCTTCTTGTGGATCTCCTATTTTAGTGACTTCATTAATTATGTCATTCATTACTTCATTCAATGCATTGGCAAGTCTTACCCATTCTATACAAAAAGTACTTCCTAAATTCATTTAGTTCTGTCCATCTCTACTGCTTCCACCCTAGTCACCTCTTGCTTGAATTATTAAATATCCTGTAACTGGTCTCCTTGCTCTTGCTCTTTGTTGTTGTTCAGTCACTCAGTTGTGTCTGACTCCTTGCAACCCCATGGACTGCAGCATGCCAGGCTTCCCTGTTCTTTACTATCTCCTGGAGTTTGCGCAAACTCTTGTTCATTGAGTTGATGATGCCATCCAACCATCTCATCCTCTGTTGTCCCCTTCTCCTCCTGCCCTCAATCTTTCCCAGCATCAGGGTCTTTTCCAATGAGTCAGTCTTTGCATTAGGTGGCCAAAATATTGGAGCTTCAGCTTCAGCATCAGTCCTTCCAATGAATACTCAGGGTTGATTTCCTTTAGGATTGATTGGTTTGATTCCCTTTCATTCTAAGGAGCTGTCAAGAGTTTTCTTTTGCTCTGGTTATCTCCAACTTTTCCATACTCTGTGGAGCATCCAGCAAACTTTTGTAATAGATAAATTAGCCCCTGTCATTCTTTTGCTTGCATTCTTCTGGTAGCTTCCCAAACTCACCACAGCCCAGAAGGCTCTGCTAATCTGGCACTTGAGTTTTCCCAGCCTCTTCTCATCCTCTCATTTCTCTTGCTCATTCTGCTTCAGGCCCCTCAACCTTCTCTCTGTTCCCCCTGAAAGGCCAAACCACTACCACTGCCTCAGGTTCTTTCTCTTCCTGGGTCTTCTGCCTCGTATGATTTCAGTTCCTCAGTGCCTGCTTCCTTCTCATTTCAGTATTGTCTTCAGCTGTGGCCTTCATAGTGCAATCTTCCCAGAACACTCTATCTAAATTAGTTCCTGCTCTCCTCAAGTCACACTTTATCTCATTACACTATTTCTTTTATATCATTAACATTTTATGAACTTACCTGTTTTCTTTATATTGTCTGCTTCTTTCCAGTAGAGAGAAAGACAATACCCATCTTTTTCACCACTGTAACCTCAGAGTCTAGAATAGCTTAACATGTACAAAACTAAAAAATATTGTTTAAAAATTTATTATATGGGTATTAAATATCTTCTTTGTGTGAAGCACTGATAATCAGTAAGTACTTCTGATTAGAGATATGAATGCCTATTTTTAAAACAGTTTCTCAAAGGTAGTCCACAAACTCTGGTGATCTGTCAAGGAGTTTGCAAGTGATTTGATGGTTTTAGAGCAAAAACTGATGGGCCAATTTTGTTCACATACACTTAACTAATTAAAAATGTAAGATTAGTTAAAATTTCCATAGAATTTTTATTTGTTGCTGTTGTTCAGTCACTAAGTCATGTCCAATATTTTGTTACTCCATGGACTCCAGCATGCCAGGCTCCTCTGTTCTCCACTGTCTCCCTGAGTTTGCTCAAATTCTGTCCGTTGGGTTGGTGATACTATCTAACCATCTCATCCTCTGCCACCCACTTCTCCTACCCTCAATCTTTCCCAGCATCAGAGTTTTTTCCAATGAGTTGGCTGTTTGCCTCAGGTGGCCAAAGTATTGGAGCTTCAGCGTCTGTCCTCCCAATGAATATTCAGGGTTGATTTCCTTTAGGATTGACTGGTTTGATCTCCTTGCTGTCAAAGGGACTCTCAGGCGTCTTCTCCAGTATCACAATTCAAGAGCATCAATTCTTCAGTGCTCCACCTTGTTTTTGGTCCAATTTTCACATCTGTACTTGACTATTGGAAAATCCATAGCTTTGACTATACAGACCTTTATCAGCAAAGTGATGTCTCTTCTTTTAATGTGCTGTCTAGGTTTGTCATAGCTTTCCTTTCAAGAAGCAAGCATCTTTTAATTCATGGTTGCAGTCACTGGCTGCAGTGATTGGGGAGCCCAAGAGAATAAAATCTATCATGGCTTCCACTTTTTCCCCTTCTATTTGCTGTGAAGTGATGGGAACAGATGCCATCATCTTAATGTTTAGTTTTTTAATGTCTAGTCTTTTGAATGTTGACTTTAAACCAGCCTTTTCACTTTCCTCTTTCACTGTCATCAGGAGGCTCTTTAGTTCCTCCCTGCTTTCTGCCATTAGAGAGGTAATCTGCATATCTGAGGTTATTGATATTTCTCCCGGAAATCTTGATTCCAGCTTGTGATTCATCCAGACCAGCACTTGGCATGACGTACACTGACTGCATAGAAGTTAAGCAGGGTGACAACATACAGCCTTGTTGTACTCCTTTCCAAATTTTGTACCAGTCAGTTTTGCCATATCCAGTTCTAACTGTTGCTTCTTGACCCACATACAAGGTTCTCAGGAGACAGGTAAGGTTGTCGAGTATTCCCATCTCTTGAATTTTCCACAGTTTGTTGTGATCTACACAAGTCAAAGGCTTTAGCATAGGCAGTGAAGCAGAAGTAGATGTTTTTCTGGAACTCCCATGCTTTCTCCATGATCCAATAAATATTGGCAATTTGCTCTCTGGTTCCTCTGCCTTTTCTAAACCCAGCTTGAACATCTGGAAGTTCTTGGTTCATGTACTGTTGTTGAAGCCTAGCTTGAAGGATTTTGAGCATAACCTTATTAGAATGTGAAGTGAGCAGGAAGTTCTGTTACCTTCTTTTTTTTTTTTTTTTGCCAGTAAACAACTTAGTCTTGTATTTGCCCAAGGCCAGCTGTTGCAGGCACTGAGGGCCCAAGACTTCCAGAAGGGATGGAGGGGTGCTGCCTCCCAGGTACTGCCTGCCCCATCCTGCTTCCTGCAGGAGGTGGGAGAGTAGATAAAATGTACGCTTGTGTCATCAAGTATCTCCTCAATTTTGTGTGTGTGTCAGTTGCTCGGTCGTGTTTGACTCTGTGACTCCATGGACTGTAGCCGGCCAGGCTCCTCTGTCCAAGGGATTCTCCAGGCAAGAGTACTGGAGTGGGTTGCCATGTTACCATCTTAATAATTGTTTCTTTTTATTCACTGC